GAGGGGGGTCTCGATGATGCCATCAGTGAAAGGGTGGCGTCTCGTGCCGACCCTCGGACCCGAGGTCTGGAATGGTCCTTGGCTAACATTCACGATTCTGCACGGTGTTGGGGCATGTGACCGATTCGTCCGAGGTGGGGAGGACGATTGTTTCTCGGCCTCAAGGGGATTGTTTGATGGTGGCTATGGTGGAATTTGCGCTCGGATGTGCTCGTTCTAGGCTCGCAAAGCTGCAATGTCAACTTCGTGTTACGCGCGCATGGCAACTATGGCGGCGGCGTTTTGCTATCTCAGGATTTCGATCTGCTCAGCTAGGGTCTCAGCAGCGGTGGCTCCATCCATGTTGGGCCCGTTGTGCTGAGCATTGGTGGGCAGCCTATTGTTGCTACGGGTGGAAACCATTGTTGCGGCCGAAGGGAATTTTTTCTTCGGCCCCACGGTGGGCACCAAACTGTTCTTACCTTAGATCGGTGGGTGAGACGATCTCTGAGTAAGATCGGTGAGTCTCCTCTGCTTGGTACGTCTGCTGCTCCAAGATGGGGTTGGTACCTGCAAAAGAGACTCCAATACTTAAGTTCGTCTTTGTGGGTGTATGGGTCTCATATATATAATGCACGTACCTTGATATAATTAGGGTTTTTCCCTTGTTGATAATTGAGCTGGTTAGGATATGATAAGATCTCCTTCTTATCAACTTATTTTATCTGTTAGAGAGATGGGCCGACCTTCCAAGTTGACGTGGCTCAAGCCCATCGTTGACAGGGTAGGCCTCGGTGCCAAAGTGGGCGGTACAGTCTTCATTATTACAAATACTAAAACCGATGAAGTGTTGTATTAAATTCAAACTTCAACCGATACACCGCATAAAATTATTGAACCAAAACAATCAAAGGCAACCTAAGCCGAGAGGGATAAAAAAGAGTACTATATGAGCTAAATTTAAGACTAAATTACACTGCACGGCCCCAAATGGCTTCTTCCGCGCCCTTCCCTTGGCGGTTATTATCGACAATTTTTTTTTTGAAAATTTTAAGAACCCTACCCCACAAGGGTCACTTTCCACCTTTGCACCATTTCTATACTCACGTTTATTGGTTCCAGCTCCTATGTTAATTTCCTTTTTTTTAAATATAAAAAAATCCTAATTTCACTATATAAAAATTTAAAAAAATTCATAGTAAAATAAAATAAAATAATTGTTGAGTCATACAAGGAGGAGGGATAAGAGTAACAAACTCAAGTGAAAGATAGATATCGCAATTTTTATGCTGAGAGGGTTTTTCCCCCAACTAAAATTTATTTTCATCTCATTCTACTCACAGAAACCCTAACTCAAATTCATCTTATATATATATATATATATATATATATATATTGTAGAGATCATGATATCAATTTTATCTTTTACCTTTCTCTTTTCTTGACGTGTGTTATAAAAAAAATTACTACTTAAAAGTTGAAATTTCAAACGTTTTTTGTGTTATATAGCTTGAGGTGGATTACCTGTCACTAGGTGAGTTTGCCTAGTTAGCATCTAATTAGCCAACTATCTAAGTGTGACCTTTGTCTTTGTTCAACATGGATTTTCATGGGCTCCTTTCATGTATGTAAGGATTTTGATTAACATGTCATAATGGTATTGACACAAGGAGTTAAGAATTGGCTTACCAAAATGATAGGAAAAATAATATTTGGTCTAGTGACAATGACATAATTTAGTTTTCTCACTAACCTTTTGTATCTCATAGGATAGGATAAGGGCTCCCTTGACTTGGCCAGAGTTTGACATTGGGGTTCATTGGGCGCTTGACATTTAGTAAGCCAATTTATACTAACATTGATTTCTGATTGGTTGACACTTGATAGTGTAAAAGTTTTTCATTTATAATTGCTGGATAGGAATCCCAAAATTTATGGGATATTATTATGTTGTAGAATTTCAAGTATTAGGATCTACAATTTATTCTTTATTGCTGCTATTGATTTATAGGGATTCTTATTTAATTATAGGAATTGCCTATTATTTGTTTCCTTTTTTATTTCCCTGTTTTACCTATTTGTGTACTAGACCAATCATTTAAATAAAATAAGAAGAATGCTTTCTTCTGCTTCTGATAATATGGTATCAAGAGCCAACTCTTCTTCATCTTAGATGAAAACTCAATATAGTTTCATGGCTGATGCGCCACGCACACAACCATCCACACCAGAAAATATTTTGCCTTCCAATAGAAATTGAAACAACCCAACCCATATGGCTTCATCCTTCCAACCTATTGACCTAAACCCCTCAATTCAAATAACCCAACACAAATTAAATGGGTTAAATTTCCAAGAATGGTACCAGTCGGTCCTTTTTGTCATCAAAGGGAAAGGAAAAATGGGCTATCTTACCGAAACTTTTGCAACTCCACCAATGACTGATCCTTCCTACAATAACTGGGATGTAGAGAACTCCATTGTCATGGCTTGGTTTATTAACACAATGGGACTTAAAATTGGTAGAACTTACCTTTTCTGCAAAATTGCCCATGAAATATGGACCACTGTTCAGGAGATGTACTCAGACCTCCAAAACTCTACCCAATACTTTGAAATAAGGTCAGCTTTGTGTAATACTCAAAAAGGTAACAAATTTGTAACTGAGTATTTTAATATGTTGCTAGAGTTATGACAAGAAATGGACTTGTTCTATACTGTTTCATGGAAATGTTTTGAGGATAAATTGTTGTATGACCAAATGCTGGAAAAAGAGAGGGTATTTGATTTTCGTCAGGGTACAAAAGAATTAGATGAAGTTAGAGGATGGATTCTTGGCCTCAAACCACTACCATCTCTCAAGGAAGCCTTTGCCATGGTTAGAAGAGAAGAAAGTAACTCAATGTGTTAAGCTTCTTATCTATGTATTTATATGAAAAGAACAAGAAGAGGTACAAATGTAGCATGAACAAAGCCCTTCTTAATAAACCTAAATATAATTTTATTATAGAACATTTTCAAGCTATTGCACAGTTATCATGCTCAGCTTGTTAAAAATATAATTAACCTGATCACAACCAGGAGCTTTGGTGAACATGTCAACCTGTGTTTACCTAGTGTTCACTTGGTATAGAAATCAATCTACTATAGTTTCCCAATAGGAAAATGGCAATCAACCTCAGTGTGTTTTGCTTCTTGTTTAATACTGGATTAGTGGCCGTGTGTGAATAGCTCCTTGAATGTCAAACCACAATTGCTTGGGATTCCCCCTGTGGAACAATATCCACATGCCTGGTTTGGAACATTTACTAGGTGACGATGGAATTTGGTTTATCTTGTATGATGTCAATGGAAGACATAATGATCAGAATGTGATAGTGACTGTTCTAGTTCTTTAAGCTCCTTATTACACATATAGTACTAGCTAAGTCTCTAAATTCTAAAATACTTAATGTGGATTCATGATGCTTGCATCAAAGACTTGTTTTCCTTTCTAAAAGTCACCTAGATGATCTTTTTATGCCTTACCCTGATGTCGAAAAATTGAGACGGTGGTTATTAAATACATTTTGTATTGATCATGAGAACATATAGGGCATGAAAGCCCTATATATTTGCTTCTGTCCTCCATCTCAGTTAAAATTAATTGTGTTTGTATGATGATTATTTTAGTCGACAAATGATAGAAGAGGAGGTATATGATCTTTTTATGCCTTACCCTGATGTCGATAAATTGAGACTGTTGTTATTAGATGCATTTTGTATTAATCAAGAGAACATATAGGGCATGAAAGCCCTATATATTTGCTTCTATCCCTCATCTCGGTTAAAATTGATTGTGTTGGTATTGTGATTATTTTAGTCGACAAATAATGGAAAATGAAGTATACGATCTTTTTATTCCTTATCCTGATGTCGAAAAATAGAGATAGTTGTTATTAGATGCATTTTGTATTGATCATGAGAACATAAAGGACATGAAAGCTCCTATATATTTGTTTCTGTCCCTCATCTCGGATAAAATTGATTGTGTTGGTATGATGATTATTTTAGTCGATAAATGATGGAAGAGGAGGTATACAATTTTGTTTATGCCTTACCCTGATGTCAAAAATTGAGATGGTGGTTATTAGATACATTTTGTATTGATCATGAGAACATAAAGGACATGAAAGCTCCTATATATTTGTTTCTGTCCCTCATCTCGGATAAAATTGATTGTGTTGGTATGATGATTATTTTAGTCGATAAATGATGGAAGAGGAGGTATACAATTTTGTTTATGCCTTACCCTGATGTCAAAAAATTGAGACCACTACTATAAAAATATTGTTTAACATCGCTATATTTACATCGATTTTAGTAGAACCGATTTAAATTATAAACACGGTGGCAAACTTGTAAATAAATAAAAAAATGCAAACGTATTTACATCGGTTGGGAGGAGAAATGATGTAAATATGAGCAATTCTACATCAGTTTTATGATTGACCGATGTAGAAATGGAATCAAGAAGTTATTCTACATCGGTTTTGCTTATGACCGATGTAGAAATGAGCCCCTCATATGTGCCCTGCGAACAGGCTAGGTTAAAGCATACCTTTTCACTCAGCAACGTCCCTAGCCGCCGCGAGCAACGATGGAGAGCGAACCCAGTTTAGAGAGTTCTGAGCCCTACCCTTTCACTCAGCAACGTCCAAACTGCCCTTCGCGCCAAGTGGTCCGCCAATCCTTTGCTCAGTCAACAACGAAGAAGCAGTGTGTTACCACGCACACCCACATTAAAGACCTAGGTCTCGAGGTTCGTTCTCTTCCACTTCTGAGCTAGGTTTTCATCTTCCCTTTGCAAAACTTGAACCTTAGTTTGATGATTGTTCAGGCAAGTGGAAAAACGTTGCCTTTTGTTGCAGGGCTTGTGGGTCAAGTTGAGGCAAGAAAAGCATCAGGTCTCGTCGTCGACATGATACGGCAGAAGAAAATGGCCGGCCGGGCACTTCTTTTCGCCAGACTGCCAGGAAATGGCAAGACTGCATTAACCCTCGGAATAAGCGAGGAGCTTGGCACCAAGGTTTCTCTTCCATGTCTCATTCATGTGTTGTTTTTGTTTCTCTTTCTGTTATTGTGGCTGAAAATAAAGTATATGCCACTCTGCAGGTTCCATTTTGCCCTATGGTTGGCGCTGAAGTTTACTCCTCAGAAGTCAAGAAGACTGAGGTTCTCATGGAAAATTTTAGGCGGGCTATTGGTCTGCGAATCAAGGAAAACAAGTAAGTATATGAAGGAGAGGTGAGTTCATGGCTATTCTCTTGTTGAAATTGGGCTGTGATTGTGCCTTGTACAATGTACATGCAGTTGTTGTTGATGATGATGATGTTTAGCTGGTCTTGTTTAGGTCACTGAGCTCTCTCCGAAAGAAACCGAGAGTGTGACGGGTGGTTATGGTAAAAGTATTAGCCATGTGATTATTGGGTTGAAGACGGTGAAAGGAACCAAGTTGTTGTAATTAGAGGAAATATCTTCCTAATTAGAGAAAATATCTATAGAATCTTCTAGGATATTTTTCAGAATATTTTTCCTTATTTCTTTATTTTAGAAGATTAGATTGTTACAAATAGGTATAAGGAAAATGTAATATGTATGAATAATAATAATAAAATTATTCTCCTTTTCAAGTTGGTATCAGAGCTCTCGATCTTGGGAGCTCCGTTTTCGCTGCAAACAGTAGCCGCCGCCGCCGCTGTCCGGCCAC